TTTTAGATTCCTTTCTTTTGTTCCTAATATTCTTAATCTTTGCTTCATTAAGATTTAATCTCTAACCCAAACTTCTTTCTTGGGAGTTTTTTTGTGATTTTAACAGTCCCCTTTTGTAAAAGGGATAAGTAGTAAGTCATTACCTGGTCATTTTTCATCTCATGGCTTATTGTTCGTATTTCCACTTAGTTTTCATCTCTGTTATAATCCACAATTCTATTATATTTTAGTTTTCATCTCTGTCATAATCCACAATTCTATTATATTTTCCTGTATTTTTACTTAGGATGGGGCTTGCTTTATGTTTTCATCATGTGGATCTGTAAATTTTTCCAAATTATTCTCCTTCTCATCTTTTATTTGTTCTATTAAATCTCTTTTAAATCATGCTGACTTAGGATTACAATGGAACTGTAATGGAATTCATAGATGACTTTGAGGCAGGTGAAGAAAAAGTGCTGCCTGAAACATGATCAGACAAGAGAGGGGGAGCCTTCAGTGGCTTAATAGTTAGAGAGAAATACTTACAAAGGATCCAACTTTATGGATCAGTTAAAATGGCAACAGATACTTAGTACTTTCAAACTTGCAAGGTTCTTTTAATATAACCTTACAATAAAGTAAAATTAACTCATCTAGTCCTATGTACTGTCTAGTTTATCTGGGAGGGCTTTAATCCTAGTGTGGGATCAACAGAGAATCTTGGAAATCACAAGAGCTCTTACTATCCTCATTTCTAATACATTCATTGTGACAAAGAGATCTGAATTGCTTCTTCTCCAATTTCTCATCACCTGGGCTCAATGTCCATATTAGGCTTTCCTCTTTCCTAAGACTTTCCTCTCCTGTCTCTGGATTGTGCATCTCTGCTTTCCCTTCCATTCCTTTCCCAGCTTCCCCTCAATCTCTCTCAGTCTCTCTCCCCATATCCATTTTTATTTTTATTTTTTTTTATTGAAAATTTTTAAAATTTTTACAATATAACTCCCCACCTCCCTCATACCCCACCCTTCCCCACCCCCCTCCCTTCCCCCTGACTTCCCAGAGCTACACACAGGGTTTACAATACAATAATTATATTCTGTCTTAAATTATATTATCCTTAA